AATGAACTCCTCTACCTCTAAGTATATTTTACATATTTTGGAGTGTAAATTCACACAAAATTCTATCCGTTCTTTACGCTTTTGTAATGTTGATACTTTAAGCTTGCAATTTGCCATTTGCAACCATTATTAATTTTTAATAGAAAATCGGTTCTGTGGTGGTTCTGGGTTTTGAAATATATTCTTATGGAAAATTACACATAAACATTAAATATGGATTTTGGATATGGACTTTCATAAATACGAATAATTATATTTTTTTATAAGGAGTTTTATTGTAATAAAATTATATGAGTAAAACGCATTGACACACTACTGTACCTGCAATATGTCCACTCAAACGGACATATTACCATCGCTTTCGCGAGGAAGTCACAAACAAGGCTCTAAAACCGTGCAATAATCTGRTCACACGAAAGACAGAAAAAAAGCCTGTATATAGGGCATCGTTTAGAGCATAGGTTCCCAAAGTGGTCCAGGTGGATCCCCAGGGGTCCATAGGAGACCACACGGGGGTCCATAGGAGACCACACGGGGGTCCACGTAGACGTGAAAAGAAAACAGGGGTTCACAAATTGTAAGGGGGGGTTGACGAAAAATTTGCTGTTTTTCATAATTAAATTATATAAATTATAAAATTAAATAAACATAATAAAATTTTTGATCACGTTCACCTCGTCCTATGTTGTCGAAAGACGATTTAGTGCCGTTACTAACCTGTTAACAAAAAAGGAGCAGATTAAACATCACAGAACGTTGAGATTTGAGATCACTTCTTACAAAACTGAAGCCAAATATTGATAATTTGCTGTTAATTCATCAAGTACATCCGTCTCATTAAAAGTATGAGTATGAGAAAGTATTGTTGAGTTTATTGTTGATTGTTTGTAATCATAAATGTTTATAATTTTGTATAACCACAAGTAGTATTTTAATAGATAACAACACAATATTGTAGGATTTTACTCCAAAATAGTGGATACGTGGTATTGAAACACAAAATTGTATTAAATGATAAAAGTTTAATAGATGAGATTGAACGAACTAACAC